AAATTCCTAATTTTTTTTGTTGTATCTAGAATTGGTTTATTATGGTTTTGTGAACTTCATCGTGCCATGCACTGGTAATATGAATGGTATTTGTTCATCATCCTTAAATTTTGACTTGACTTGATGACAAGTCCCCTTGCTTACTGGTATTAGGCAGCTGAGCCACTGTAATCTGAGAAGCAAGACTGGTCTACACTGAGCTTCCTTTCCCCTATTAAAATAGTTTTTCTTAATAATACCTGTTTTGTAAAATTACTGTTCAGCTGGTATGTGTGTGTGTGTGTGTGTGTGTGTGTGTGTGTGTGTGTGTATGTGTGTGTTGTCTATTTTTTAGTGGTCCCATGGCTTCTGATTGGTATGCTTTAGTTTCTGTTTGAACATCTTCATTTTAAAGTGTTGGCCATAAATTTGAATTTACTGAAATTCAAAGCACATCAAGTTCATTCATTTAATTAACTAACTCAACTAACTCATTTAATATGTATTTGTTGAGTATCAACTGATTGGCTCTGAAAGTTGAACAATGACTTGATCCTATAATTAAAGGTATGTTGTATACTTTCTTTCATAACCTCTGAGGTCTACAAAAATATTTTGGATATACAATGCCATTCATATTCTTTCCAAAGAAATACTCTTCTGAAATAAAGTGAATTACTTTTTATTTCAAGAAACAATTTTGGTATTGATTTATCAGACATTTAAAAAAAACTAAAATAGGAATATTTTCATAGCATAGAAATTTTGCTTAAAAATTGAGAATTCATGTTTAATTAGGTTGTGGTTTTCTAGCTTCTAAGGTATATGATTTCCTAATAATATCATAGCACAACAGGATAAACTTATTGAATAAACTGAATATAGTGAAATTATGTTCTCTTTTCCAACAATGAAATTAAATAAAAATTAACGTTGAGTGCTGCTCTGAGAAATTTGTTATTTGTTTGACTTTCTTTTTCTGCTTGCCCTTTTCCCTCCCACCTAAAAGAAAGGAGCAAGATTTTTTAAAAATAGTATTTTTCTAAGATAACATGTCAAGCATGGCTTTATTATTTTGAATATGTTAATTCTACTTTATTAATTGTCTAAGGAGAAATTACTTTTACAGTAAATGCTCTACTTTCTTGAAAACAGTGCCTTAAAGTTTATTCTTCACCTGTATTACACTACAGATTTGTCAGTAAGCTAACAAAATGCTTAGCAATCAAAACAACTGCAATGAGAGCTGGTTTTACCACTGGACTCGAAAACTTATTTCAAATGCTAATAAAATTTATAGAATTCTTATGTTAATTTACTGTGCTTGCTAATCTTCACTGCCACACTTGAATTCATTGGGATTAAAACACCAAACACACATATACACTCACACTTACCTTTTTTCCTTGTCTTTTTTTTTTCCTGCTGCATCATCAAGTACAGAAAAAGAATTAGAGTTCTGTATGTTGTCATGTTTTTAATTGTTGATAGTTTTCCTAGCATTTAGCTGTGCCTGGTAGTGGTTACACAGATTAAGGATTAGCAATTTCTTTAGCAATGAGAATCTCCATCTGTTCAAAAAACATTTGGGACAAAACTAAGAAATTTAAGAGAAAGTTGCAAGGAACTGAGGAAGAAGCATAAAAGCAAAGGAGAAATAGAAAAAAATAGAATGGAATGCTACCTCCAATGGTATTAACTTCTCTTGTTGAATCAAGTTTCTGGCCAAATTATTTATAAAATAAGTAAATTTATTTATAAATAAATAATTTAAGAAGAATAAACAGTTTAAGAAGAAATTTCTTAGAAAAAGCCTTTCTCAAAAGCTCCTTTCCTATTCCATGCAATTCCATGCAATTTTTGTTTTAAGAGAAGAAATTTGCACATTTTCTACTTTTGCTTTTTCATGTTGAACTTTCACAAGTTTGCTTAAAACTCTTATCTTGGATTCCCTGTATCTTCTAATTGGAGACAAATGTCAGCCTTTGTGCTGAAATTATGAACTAAATTCTTTATACCAAACATGAAGGGCTAGGGGTGTGGCTCAGTGGTTGAGTGCCTGCTTAGCAAGCACAAGGCCCAGAGTTCAAACCCCAGTCCCCCCCCTAAAAAAAAAAAAGTTACCAAATGTGATTATTAAACAGGGATAACAGTCTTGAGGCCCATTGTTCACACGAAATTTTTTGTTTTTATTTTTCATTTTGAAGAATTATTCCCATAATATTTATGGAAATAATTTAGGTACATTAAAATTACTTTCAGTATCCCGAAGCTTTCTAAGGCTTGGGGCTATTTGTACAGTATCATAACTACACCCTTATCATGCTCAGTTGTTCTGGGTACTGTAGAGTAACAGAGACTGAGGAGGTGACCTGTGAGGGACTTAAACTTTTGGACTTTCTTCTTTACCCTTCCTCACCCCTCACCACTTTAGTAATACTATGCTCTATTTTCACCAAAGTCATAATCTTCACTTTATCAATATATCAATACAGGTGGATTAGCTGGACTTTGAAGGCAGTCTTCTAGGTAAACACCATTTTGGGGGCCTGGGGGACATCAAGACTCAGCTGGAGTGCTATAAGTAATAATTATCCACACAATGGGAGGGGACGATGCCTCAGAAGTAACTTTAATATGTATGAATTGAGTAAAATATTTAGGAATACACATAGAGCATCCTTTATTAGAAATGCAGGTTATTAGAAGTATTTGAGAATTCAGATGTTTTTTAAAATTTTGGAGTATTTGTATATGCATAATGAGATATCTTAAGGATAGGAGCCAATAAACCAGAAAGTCATTTGTTTCATATACATGTAGCCTGAAGGTGATTTTACGTAATATTTTAAAATAATTTTATGTATGAAACTTTGTTTTATGGTGTAGGATTTTCCACTTGTGGCTTTATGATGATGTTCAATATGTTTTAGATTTTGGAGCATTTTGAATTTCCTATTTTCAGATTAGGGATATTTATCGTACACCAGTGGAGACATAAGGAGAGGTGTTATCTGGGGTTGAATCAGTGAAGAGTTTCCAAGGAGATGAGATTTTCTATACAATCCCTTAAATAAAAAGAAAATGTTATTGTAGATGATAACTTCTAGATCTGTCCCAATTCTGTACCTGAGACTTTGTCCAAAGAGTTACACTTAAGGAAAGTAATTTCTTCCGGTCATTTTTCAAGAATAGAAATGTTCGTTATTTCTTGAAGTTTTTTGTGAGTAGAGATTTTATCAATAGACTCATGCTGCCCTAAAAAGCCATGTTTTTCTTATATAAAGTAACTAAGTGGAATTTCAATTTGAATAAGTGAAATTATTCAGTAAACTGAGATAGGGATTGTTAAATCTCCTCTATTTTGGTCTCCCAGCCACTGCCATCCAGCCATTGTTGTTGATAGTAGATACTTGAAAGGAATATTCCCCCCAGTAGAATTTCAGCAGAGATTTTTTAGGTCCCTAATAAAGAATTTGATAAGGGTTTGAACTATGAAAATCTTTAGCAACTTTATTAGTTCTAAACCTCAGGGAAAAACTGATTTTCTTTAAAACATGAGATCAATAATGGTTCTTAAGATATTTTCTTTAAACCATGCTGTTCTTTTTAGAGTACTTTTCAGCAATGAGAATGAATGCAAAGTTTGTTTTTCTAGGGACAATTCTGGGAAGATTGATATCAATCTTAGTATAACTTACTTTCACATAACTCCATATTATAATCTAATATTTTAAATAATCTAATTAAAAAGAAGGCCCTGGTTTCCTATTAAGCTATTAATAAAGCTAAAACATTTTCTTATAAAATAAAGTATATAAATATGTGTTCTTGTAGGTTAATTATACAAATACCAAGTGCCAAATAATGCATAATTTAATTTCTTGTGCTTGGCTCAACCCAATTTATTGTACCACAAAATTTGCTATGACACTTCCTTTGTCTCATTCAGAATGACAACACAATCTTGCTTCTCAAACACTATTAAAAGGCCAATATTCATATCTTTCTTTTATGAAACTAGTCTAGAATCAATTCTTTTAGTAGAAGATACGAAGTAGTAAAATGTTTTATTAACTTTAAACATGAGAAAAGTACCTACTGTACAAATTTTATGTCAGCAGTATTCCAAGGAATATTTAAACTTGTTTTGACTTATCACTTCTTGCAAAAGTGACTTTTTCCTTCTCCCTCATTGTGTTCCTTAAGAAAGGAGAAGGAAAAGGAATTTTGAGCTGGATGTGGTGGTGCCAGCTATTTAGGAAGCTGAGGCAGGAGAACCTTCAATTTGAGTCCAGCCTACAAAAAGTTAGCAAGACCTTGTCTTAGAAAGAAAGAAGGAAAGGAAGGGAAAGAAAGAAAAGAAAATGAAAGAAAGAAAGAAGGGAAAGAAAGAAAATGAAGGAAAAAAAAGCAAAGATGACTGAGGATGTAGTTCAGGGTACAGCATCATACCAAAAACAAAAAAATGAGTTCTAGAAACATGAAATTTTACAGTTCTATGAGGTTATTTTCAATATTTGGCATTCCTATTAAGTGGCCTTTCAAGAAACAATAAATAAGAATGAGAGGTCTGACTTGGAATTTATTTTCACTCAGTTTGACTTTTGCTAAGGCATTGGTATAGCATTCTGTATACCTGGTTAAACAAGTGGATAAACAGTTACATTCATCTCTCTGCAGTCTCTGTTATAGAATTTGTATCATAAATAATATAAAATAATTTCAATTCATTTAAACACAAGAGTAGGGTTTCTTTATCTTCTAAAATTGAATTAAACTCCCTGCACATAAAGTTCAGAAATAGTTTTGCTCTGAAATCTTGAATGCAGTAACCTGACATAACAGTATATTCTATATTTCTTGTTTTTTTAATTATAGATTTTACAACTTCTAAAACATTCCTGAGACATGAAGCAAGAAGAATAACTATCTTCTGTGCTCACTTCTTGCATCAAGTACTTGGTAGACAAAAGCATGTAAGAAGAAATAATTATTTTTCATAGTCATTACTCTTTGCAATGGGAGTGCTAAATTTCAAGCATTTCTCTTTTGGGAGCTTCATTCTGTGCAATGGAGTATACCAGACAGTGTTCATATTGCTTCTGATTCTGCGTTGCTTGATTGCGGATTTCAGGGCACCCCCTATTCTCCCAAATGTGACTTTCCTCTTGGCTTGGAATGCCCCAACTGAATTGTGTACAGGAAAGTTAAATGAACCATTAGATATGAGCCTCTTCTCTTTAATAGGAAGCCCCCGAAAAAGTGAAACAGGGCAAAGTGTTACTATATTTTATACTGATAGACTTGGCTACTATCCTTACATAAATCATGCACAAAAGAGTGTGCATGGGGGAATCCCCCAGTTGGGGTCTTTACAAAATCATTTGGACAAAGCTGAGCAAGACATTTTGCACTATATGCCCACAGACAAGTTAGGCTTGGCTGTCATTGACTGGGAAGACTGGAGGCCAACGTGGGCAAGAAACTGGAAACCTAAGGATAATTACAAAAATAAGTCTATTGAGTTGGTTCAGCAACAGAATATAAACCTTAATATCACAGAAGCCACCAAGATAGCCCAAGAAGAATTTGAAACTGCAGGAAGGAATTTTATGGAAGAGACTTTAAAATTGGGAATTTCAGTTCGGCCAAATCACTTATGGGGTTATTATCTTTTCCCTGATTGTTACAACCATGACAATCAAAAACCCAATTACAATGGACAGTGTCCTGATATAGAAAAGAAAAGAAATGATGGGCTCAAGTGGATGTGGAAGGAAAGTACAGCCCTTTATCCATCCATTTATTTGAAGCAGGACTTAAGGTCATCTCACCAAGCTGCACTCTTTGTCCGTAATCGAGTGCAGGAAGCAATAAGGATGTCTGAAGTCCGTGATGCTAAAAATCCACTTCCAATTTTTGTATATGTTCGCCTAGTTTTTACTGATCTGACTACTGAATTCCATTCTGAGGTAAGTCAAAATAAGGCAACTATGAAACTGTTCACAACTGTTATTTAATATTTTTGATGGAAGTTATATTTGGCTTTTAATGTTATCTGTCAATATGTACATGGGTGTTCTAAGTCATAATTTGAAGGCAAAATAAGAATATTTTCATCTTTAGTCATATAATCTCTTAGCAGACTTGAAAAATTAGATAGTAGAGACAACTTATTAACTCTGGTTCTTTTTTTCTTTTATAGCCCTTCTCTCTTGTCAATAGGAGTAGTTAAAACAGCATAGATTTTTTTTTTATTTCAGGGAAGCAACTGTGCAAAAAGATATAAATAGTGGAGAAATATTTAAATTGTTATTGCCCAATCAGCATGCTTAGCATTTGTGTTACTGTCTTTTGTAGAACACTGTTATTTTATTGTGCTCAGCTAATTCTTTCTATCAAATATTTCAGGTAGACCTTGTACATACAGTTGGTGAAACCATTGCTCTGGGTGCATCTGGAATTATAATATGGGGAACACTTAATTTAGCACGAACTCCCGTAAGTTGAATTGATAGAAAATAAATGAAAATATTTCTACCTTTAATGTTTTTCAGGATTTTTTGGTGTGTTATATAGAAATTAAGTACTATGGTTGGCACATACAGTAGGTACACAATATTGGCTGAACCAAAATATCTCATTTGTCTAGTTAGGTTGTAAGGTAGAAAATATTACACCTTCTTTACACTGGGGAATCTTATTCAGTGAGGTAAGTTGAAAGTCTTTAGGGTCCATGGCTTGTGAGCAGCAAAACCAACACTATAATTTTCCATTTTCTGACATGGTGTCTGGAGTCAGAAGGTATCTATTTTCATCTGTGTCTAATTCTCCACATCAGGTCTTTATTCTCCACTTCTTCAATCCTCTTGATCAAAGGAAAGGCTAAATTGGAGCTAAACTTTTCTTTCTCTGATAGTAATACTAGTGAAAATGTGGAGAATGTCAAATGAAGCCCATTGCTGAGGAGTCTTACCCTAGGATCTGTAGAGAATAGATTTTATGCTCTATGACCAGCAGAGACATTTTGAGAAGTTTTACATCTCTCTCTTGTCTTTTAGGTAGAACAGCAATATTCTTATTTCATTTACAAAAACTTAAGGAAGTCACATTTGTGAAATTCTTTCAAGGTAGTGCTAGCCTTTCTCTTAATTATGTAAAATTTTATTTTCTTTGACTTGATTGCCAACAAAATGAAATAGAAGAAAATACAAATTCAAGTGAAGGTGTATGTTTCTTGGTAAGATCTTTTGTATGTCAGAAAATTATCTCAAAATTTTTATTCTCTTAAGTATATTCCAAATTTTTATTAACTGATTTTCCAAATGTGTATCTTCCATTTTCAAAGTTATCATTAATTCTATGATGGAACTATTCATAAATTCTCCACACTACTTCCTTTAACAAAATAAAAACTGAGAGCTCCAGCCTTACTCTGATGAGGAATGAATCTGATGTTCTCCAATGAGTAGGATGATGTGATAAGTTAAGTGTCACATTTGTTTTTTAATATCACTTTAATCTCAGGCTCATACTCACTTACCGTGCCTCTCAAATCATCTTCAGTTATAGTTCATTCAGGAATACTCCTTCAACTATAATATGACAGTTTTCTATTTAGTGGCATGGTCTCAATGCTGTTCCTTATAGGATTCTGTTCTATATATTCCTGCTACTTTCCTGATTCCTGGTCATTTTCAACATTATTATTATCATTTCATTCCCTTATTTCTATGTCATTTGTAATCAATAAACCCACCAATCACTTGCCATGGTTCTTCCAATTCACTGGGAACATGAGAAAGTGGTGTTTGCAGGTGTATTAGAAGTTGCTAGAACTGACTTAGAGCAAGTGTGAAGTCAACTATTCTCTCATGCTCCATTTCATTACATCCAGTTGTGTGATGAAGCCAACTCCACAGCTCCCAGCTTGTGAGACTTGATTGTTAAATATTTAGGAATTTTGTGAGTCAGTTACTAAACATAGCCTTTATTAAAAATTAAACTATAAAGACATGCAATACAAAAATTATATTAAAAAAGGCAATAGACATTCAAAATTTATCAATTGTTTTACTTATTTCTTATCAGCCACGCACTTGAGATTGTTTATATCTACTCTGGCTGTAGAAATGAAAATACTCTATAACAGCTAAGGATCCACACACCATACTGTGGTGTGTAGCATACTCAGTCCCCAATTCTGCATTCAGAGGTGTCACATGGTATTTGAAATTGGCCTTGACTGGAGTATATATACAATGGTACATACACAAATGCTATAAATCAGACTTATTTTAGATAAGATAGCCCATTCTATTGACTATATATTATGTGAAGTATTGATTCTCAAATCATTCTCAACCTTTTAGTCCTCTTTTTGCCTAACTCTTGTCTCTCCAGAAGCAACTTGAATGTCATCTGAATATGGTATAAGTTCTAAGATATCATCGTTACTGGCTGTGTAGTGCTTTAGAATATTGACAAAGTCAACACACTCATGTGCTCTTAAAAGTATATAAGTGAGAGCCAGCTGCCATACCTTATGCCTATAATCCTAGCTACTTGAGAGGCTGAGACTGGTTAGATTAAGCTTCCAGGCCAGTGGAGGCAAAACTTTCAGAAGACCTCCATCTCAATTAATAGCTAAGTGTTGTGGCAAGCTTACGGGAAGGCTGACATCAGGAGGATCATGTTTCCAAGCCAGTGTGGACAGAAAAAGCTCATGGGACTCTGTCTCACCATAGGGTGGCACATAGTGGCATGTTCCTGCAATCCAAGCTATGGCAGGAAGCCTAAATTAGGAGGAACTTTGCCCAGGACAGCTTGGGCAAAAGTGTGATCTAATATCAAAAATGACCAGAGAAAAAACAGACATGGCTCAAATGGTACAGAACCTGTCTAGCAATAGTGATGCTCTGTGTTCAAACCCTATACTCTCAAAACAAACAAACAAACAAAAAACAAAAAGGAGAAAAATGTTTGCTGTAATAAATACTTTATAGAGAATTAATACAGGGTTGTGAGTCCACAAGGAAAATATTTGATAAGGGCATTGTCTAAGTAAAGCGCCATCAGAATAACAACAGAGAGTCAACCATATTAAAAACTGTTCCAAGTAGAGGGAACAGTAGTGGAGTTTAAAATGAACACGCCATGCTACTGAGACAACTACTGTGTCTAAAGAGCATGGGTATGGGAGGCTGTGCAAGAGGAAGGAAGGGCTATTCATATCAGATGGTATTCAAGTCAAGAAGTGGAGTTTCATTCTAAACTATATAATACTGTTGGAGAGTTAAGAAGACACATGGTACTTTAGCTTGTTTGTTGCTTACATAAAAGTTACAACAAACTTGGTTTAAACAACACAAATGTACCATCTAACAGTTCTGTGGGTCAGAAGTCTAACACAGGTCACCACAGGCTAATATTAAGCAAACTGCATTCCTTGTAGAAGAGAATCTTCACTTACCCACTTGGGTTACTGGCAGATTCAGGTACTTGTGGTTGTAGCAGCGAGATTTCTATTATCTGACTAACTGTTAACTAAAGGTCATTTCCATCTTATAGATGTCCCTACATTCTTTAGTTCTTGACCATCTTGTCTTCAAAGAGCAGTGGTGTCTTAAGTTCCTTTTACACTTTGAATCTCTCTTTCTTCTTTCGTCTCAGATCACTTTTCTACTTTCAAGGACTTGTGTAATTAGATTGAGTCCTTCCACATAATTCAGAATAATTTCCTCATCTCAAGGAACATGCTCTCAATCATATCTCAAATTCCTTTGTCCATTGTTAAGCTAAATGTCACTGGTTCCTGGGGATTGGGTGGTGGATATCAGGGAGTCTGTTTTTTCATGTCAGACAGTTGAGGGCATCACCTCAAATAAGGTGACCAAGAAATCAATTCAAGTAGGAGCTTCTAAGATTCCTTGCCTGTCTAATAACAACCACCATTACTGCCTTGGTCGTGCCCAAGGGTAGTACA